CCCCAAAACCCCAAAACCCCAAAACCCCAAAACCCCAAAACCCCTAAAGCAATATAAATATTGAAATTTACTCAGCACCCTAGTTAACTTTAACGATGATCTTGTCTCCCATTGAATCATACATTGAAAAGTTGATGAGTCAGTAATCATATCCATACCAATTCTTAATATAGCTCCATGTCTTCATATCAAGGGATACATAGTCATGGTACTCGACTATATCTGTACGGGCGACCAACTCTTCAGGACTCCTAATGAGGGGTTCATTGGTGATTTTCCCTGGCTGGGCATAATTGCTAAAAGAAGTTATAGACTTGTTCAAGCAATAGCTTACTTCTCTTCCTGCTTTATCGGAGAATTACTTGATGATGAAGGTAATTTGAAACTTGATTTCAAAGGATTTTGAGATTCAATATTCATTCGTACACTACTCGGTTGACCGGTAAAGGAGTATATTTCAACTTCATCAAAATTAGTGTAGTCGCACCACTTCCGCCACCAACTTGAAGATATTAAATACTTCTTCTCATTCTTAATCCTCATCTTGGCAGGGGGAGGGATTGGAGTTTTATTTCTCTCTGAAATCATTAGTTCTGAAGGATTTTCTGGATTAGAAACTAGCTGGATTTTACCAACCTCAACAACTAAAATTTTAAATTTCAAACATATACATGATTTCAAATATTCTTTAAGGCATGATTCGATAATCATTTTTTGACTCCATGAAGGCATCTTCTTGCAGTATTGACTACAAATTTTGTAGCTTGGGGGTCTGAAAATAGGGTTGATCACCAATCCTTGGTCTGTCTCATCTTCTTCAAAATTTATCATTGGAGAATCCTGAATAAGATCAAAGCAGAAACTTACCTTATTAGTTGAAGTAGCATATTTTCTTTCACTATAAGTACTTGACTCAAGAAGCCTGGAGCTGTTAATACTTGAAGAAAGCTCTTCATCATGATTACAAAAGCACTGGTTAAAATTAGTGGAAAGGCCAGATCTTTCCTTCTTAATCCTCTGTTTTTCTTCTTTTTTCTCCTCCTCTCTAGTCTTGTTAATAGAGTTATAATGCTTGACGTAGTTAGTATTGATCCCTTTGGCATTAAGGTTTGTGCCTTCTTCGTCATCCTGAATAGAAGCTGCTGAAATAGTATCAAAAACAGCATTAAAATCCTCGATTTCATTACTTTCTTCCAACTTCTGGCTCTTATGAGGAATATTGGAACTTTCTCTATTAAAAACGGAGAAGCCTAAAATGAGACTTCAAAGGTACCATAACGACTCATTTTCTGGAGGTGATCTATCTCTATTTTAGGCTTGAGTTGTTCCATGTTAAAGCTGCTCTCTCGAACTCTGTTGGTTGTATACTTATCCTTCCGAAGAGAGTTCCTGTCAGTGACTAAGCCTGAGTTGAAATCTACTTACTGATATCCAAATTGTTGCTCCTAGATTCGTGAAAATGAACATTTTCCTCAGCGATTTCCAGCTGATCTTTTCTGGGTATGAGCTTGTGCTCAAGCATAGAATCTTCTTGGGAGAAGAAGCTGAGCTTGTTCAGGTCAGTAATTGATTTCTTCTCAGCACAATTTGGAGGAGTCTTATATCTAAAAGATTAGCATAGAGATCATACAAGCTTTTGTTTGGCTGAAAATTAAATGGCTGCTTATTTAGTAGAACGATTACTTAATTCTGCACTTAAGTCTTTAATTCATTCCTCTATTGGATGAGAGGGAACCATACCTGACACTGGTGTGTCTGGAATGTAGCTGTTGATCGCACTATAGGGCTTTGGGCTCATGATTTGGATTTTATCACTGTCTTGAGAAGTTATCATTTCTTCCATCTGTTCAATTTTATTTATTTGTATCATCTTTGTACTCAATGAATCATTCTCAAAGCCTATATGAAGCTAGGTTACCAGGATTCATCCAAAGTTAGCAAAAATCTCTGCTTAAAATAGCACCGAACTCTGTAATTTACTTATCGATCGTATTATGCATTTGGACCATTTCTTGATTATAGTCGTTCTTCAGACCTCTAAGTTCTTTTTCCAACTCCCTAAAATTTAAACAAACCTGGCTTACTTGATTCTTTTCAAGTAAGTGTTGCTCTTGACAAGCGGGTTTTTACTATAAGTATGCCTGTAAGGAGAGGATATAGGCTTGAATCTCTTAGTCTCTGAATAGTAAGACATTTCAAATTTCAATTATAATATCATCCAAGGGGTTTTGGGGTTTTGGGGTTTTGGGG